AATAGAATAGAATAGAATAGAATAGAATAGAATAGAATAGAATAGAACAGAACAGAACAGAATAGAAATTAGGGATGGGGCTGATCCGATCCAGTATTGGTATCGGCCTCCGATACCAGCATAATTTACGTATCGGATTTTCCAATCCACCTGCCGATATTTTCTATCCGTGATGCATGTTGGCTTCAAACTATGGAATGGATTTCCTGAACGGCGGCGTGTCTCATGAACCCAGAGTAATAAGACCCGCCTCACATTCAGGAAATCCAGTTCATAGTTTGCAGCCAGCTACAAAGTGAGGACTGAGTTAGTAGCACTGTGGCTAACAGCTCACCAACTTTTCATCGAAACATGTCTGCTGTGTGGAAGTATTTTACACTAAACACCACAAAACAAGACAGCATCGTGCAATGTCTGCAGAGCCATAGCGCCACATTAAACCACTGAAAAGTTAGTTTTACGTTGGACATTCGAGCTCTGTGGCTTCAGCGGGGCGCTGCTCTTTGCTCCACCCAAAACAGGCGACTCGACCTCGGCCAGCCGTGTCCAATCTGCCCCGCTCAGTCTGCCCGTCTCTGAGGAGGGGGAGACTGAGCGCGGCTGCCCCAAATCAGGCTGCTTGCTTCGGATTGAACAAGAAGTAGACGTCGCTGAAACCACGGAGCTCAAATGTTTACAGAGAAGTTGCTAAACTTCATTATAATTAATGACCAACCACTATCAGTTGTAGAAAATGAAGAATTTCACAGCTTGATACTTGCAGTCAAGATATAGTTTACCCTCCAGGAGATATTTATCAGTACAACAGTAGACAATCATAAAAAAACATTATTTGAAAATTATATATATTAAAAACAAAAACAGCTACATTATAAAGTGATGTAAAATACTAAAAACAGGAACATGTCTGTTGGTTTATGCCATGAATTTAGCAGATGTTTGAAGCCATTTAACATTTAATTTTATTTTATTCATTTATTCATTCATTTAAAAGAAACAATTAAAAAAAATCAAAAAGAAAACATTAAATGAAAAGAGTGCAGAAAGAAGAAAAAAATTCTTAGACATGTCCCTTATTTAAAAAAATATATATAAAATAACTTTAAACAATCACTTAAATTAATATCCACTTTAAAGCTAGGAATAAAAAAACATGTTTTGTGTTAGCAGAATTTAATTCTAACTTTAAAACTTATCCAAAATTAATAAAACTTACCTCAAGTTGCCTGTTTGGACATGCATGCATATATTTGTACAAATTGTACTTGAGAGGAGATTATTACAGCCTCATGTAAAATCAATGATGATCATGATATCGGAACTGGATCGGTATCAGCCGATATTCAGACTTAGGTATCGGGATCGGATCGGAAGTAAAAAAAAAAAGTGAATCGTGCATCCCTAATAGAAATACTGTATTTTATTTAGCCTCATGGGGAAATTCAGCATTGTTGAAGCCACTCCACGAATACACAAAACATGAATCCCATTAAATAGACAATAAAAACACATAACACAAGTAAAACATTAAAACCAGAAAAAAATATCAAGTTAAACGAAATCAAAAATAAGGAATTGCAGTATTGCTCAAAGGTAGAAATTAATTCCTGTGTCTCTCGTTGGAAGGTCTCGGATGTAGAAGCTTATCATCCTTTGATAACTTTCTGAGAGTTTCATTAAAGTCTGTTCCGTGACTTATTAGATAATTTGATAACATTCCAGACAAACAAATTGGTGAAAACATTACTGCACTTTTTGCAGTGGGTGATAAATGTGACAAATAAGTTTTATAGTGGATCAACAAAGTGTCAAAAAACCCACACATCTGATGTAGGTTTGGTTTATAATTTGTTTTAGTTAATTAAAATCTAACTTTTTTATTTGTGTTATTACAGTTTAATAAATGCATGAATCCTACCAGATTTCCAAACTTCACACATTTCACTGCAAACTCTGCTGCCGTCCTGATGAACTGAAACTTAAACAAGTATCTCCAGTCAGACTACTGACTAATAGTCTCACTGGAATGAATGGTAGTTATACATTTACACACAGACTGAACTGTAAGAAAACAACCTCCATTTCACGATGGGATGTTCTTTAATTATTTTATTAGTTCTTTAAGTGTGACTTTTCCTGTGATGGACTTGCGACCTGTCCAGGATGTACCCCGCCCCTCACACAATGATTGCCTGACATGGGCACCGGCGACCCCCATGACACAAAATGGAAGAAGCGGGTAAAAGATAATGGATGGATGGAAGTGTGACTTTGTTCTTTCATCTAACAGTAACATTGCTACAACTAAATATCGTAATCTACCCTCTGTGGTAGTTAAAATTCAGAACAGTTTTCTTTTGGTCAAAAAATACTTTATATTTAATCATTCTGGGGACTGGTTTTGGAGAAATTTAAATTGGGCAGCTGAATAAAACCACAACAGGAGGGAGGCTGATGTTTTGCAATAAATTTTCATTCAACCTTTATTTATACAGGTAAATCCCATTGAGCCTCGAGGACTCATTTACAAGAGTGACCTGATTTAACAAAGAAAGATGACAACAATGGACAACAGCAACAACAATAAACAATTATAAAAAGTCATACTGCAGGTTTTTTTTTTTTACACAAATAGGATGGCTAAAAGAAAAAGGTAACAAAAAAAACAGCTAGATTCTAAGAACAACCAAAAGACAACCAAAACCAGCTGCTCACATGGTCAGCAGCAAACTGGTTGATCCACTCTGAGAAGGTGCTATTTAAGAGACTGAGCTGAATACAGCACCTCAGACTGAGGAAGTCTCTCAGATGAGAGACGAAACGTTTCTATAGATATTGTTTTTGCTTTGTTTTGTTCTTTTGTTTTTTTTGAATGTCCAGAGGACCAGATTGAACTTTTTTGGATTTTTCTACCTGGATTATTGAGCATGCATCAGGATAAGTAGATGCATAATTAAACGAATGAGTTGTCGAGATTCAAATTGGTGCTAATGATTTTTTGTTTATTTATTTTTTGCTTATCAGAGGCAGCGCAGAGTGACAGATCCCAACGAGTGGCGGAAGCAATTTTATCCACCACCAGGCTCAATGGCAGAGCCAGGGGCTTAGGGTTAGCCACCATAGATTAATCTTCAGCCACCCCAAACATTTAAGGAAACTATAATTTTAGGCAATAAAAACATATAGTTTTCACAAATAATAGGCATGGCCAGTTTTTATATACATACAAACCGGATTCCAAAAAAGTTGGGACACTAAACAAATTGTGAATAAAAACTGAATGTAATGATGTGGAGGTGCCAACATCTAATATTTTATTCAGAATAGAACACAAATCACAGATCAAAAGTTTAATCTGAGAAAATGTATCATTTTAAGGGAAAAATCTGTTGCTTTCAAATTTCATGGCATCCACATATCCCAAAAAAGTTGGGACAAGTCCATTTTTACCACTGTGTGGCATCCCCCCTTCTTCTTACAGCACTCAACAGACGTCTGGGGACAGAGGAGACCAGTTTCAAGTTTAGAAATAGGAATGCTCTCCCATTCATGTCTAATACAGGCCTCTAACTGTTCAATCGTCTTGGGCCTTCTTTGTCGCACCTTCCTCTTTATGAAGCGCCAAATGTTCTCTATAGGTGAAAGATCTGGACTGCAGGCTGGCCATTTCAGTACCCGGATCCTTCTCCTACGTAGCCATGATGTTGTTATTGCTGCAGAATGTGGTCTGGCATTATCGTGTTGAAAAATGCAGGGTCTTCTCTGAAAGAGATAACGTCTAGATGGGAACATATGTTGTTCTAGAACCTGAACATAGTTCTCTGCATTAATGGTGCCTTTCCAGACATGCAAGCTGCCCATGCCACAAGCGCTCATGCAACCCCATACCATCAGTGATGCAGGCTTCTGAACGGAGCGTTGATAACAACTTGGGCTATCCTTGTCCTCTCTGGTCCGGATGACATGGCGTCCCAGTGTTCCATAAAGAACTTCAAATCGTAACTCATCTGACCACAGAACAGTCTTCCATTTTGTCACACTCCATTTTAAATGACCCCTGGCCCAGTGCAAACGTCTGAGCTTGTGGAGCTTGCTTAGAAATGGCTTCCTCTTTGCACTGTAGAGTTTCAGCTGGCAACGGCGGATGGCACGGTGGATTGTGTTCACTGACAATGCTTTCTGGAAGTATTCCTGAGCCCATTCTGTTATTTCCTTGACAGTGGCATTCCTGTTTGAGGTGCAGTGACGTTTAAGAGCCCGGAGATCACGAGCATCCAGTAGAGTTTTACGGCCTTGACCCTTACACACAGCAATAATTCCAGATTCTCTGAATCTTTTGATGATGTTATGCACGGTTGATAGTTTGCATGTTCTCTCCGTGCATGCGTGGGTTTTCTCCGGGTGCTCCGGTTTCCTCCCACAGACCAAAAACATGCATGTTAGGCTGATTGGTAACTCTAAATTGTCCCTAGGTGTGAGTGAGAGAGTGAATGGTTGTTTGTCTTGTTTGTCTCTATGTGGCCCTGTGATGGGCTTGCGATCCGTCCAGGGTGTACCCTGCCCCTCGCACAGTGATTGCTGGACATGGGCACCAGCGACCCCCGTGACCCAAAAATGGAATAAATGGGTAAAGCTAATGGATGGATGGATGGATGGATGCACGGTTGATGATGATAACTTTAAAGTCTTTGCTATTTTACGCTGGGTAATACCATTCTGGTATTTTTGCACTATCTTTCTGTGCAACAATGGTGGAATTGGTGATCCTCTTACCATCTTGGCTTCTGAGAGACACTGACACTCTGAGAAGCTCTTTTTATACCCAATCATGTTGTCAATTGACCTAATTAGTGTTAATTGGTCTTCCAGCTGTTCGTTATATGCTCAATTTCCTTTTTCCAGCCACTTATTGCTACTTGTCCCAACTTTTTTGGGATTTGTTGACACTGTGAAATTTTGAATCAACATATTTTTCCTTTAAAATGTTACATTTACTCAGATTAAACTTTTGATCTGTCATCTATGTTATATTACGAATAAAATATTGACATTTGCCATCTTCACATCATTGCTTTCAGTTTTTATTCACAATTTGTTTAGTGTCTCAACTTTTTTGGAATCCGGTTTGTACATGAAAATGGGAAATCAGAGACAATCATGGCCTGAAAAGAACAAGTGATAAATTATTTGTGACAGAGCTGCAGCACAGTCACAGGTATGTGGGTTAAGACTTCAGGAAGTTATTTTGTTTGACCAAAATTTGCCATTTGTGGCAGTCAAATTTAAATGAAAAAAAAAAATCATCATTTTTTGTGATAAATGTACAAAAATTAGATTTCTAAAAACTTACCAGTAACATTCCAATCTGAACCAAAAACTCTTTGTTTACAATTCGAGATCTGAAGACCTGAGAGGAGATAAACAGTCAAACATGGCAAAAAGAAGAAACCAAAAAAATAATGAAAAGGTGATGTTGTATATAAACAAACACATCCAAACAATGCAAAAAGGCAGACACACTGGTTCTTAAACTGGGAGATTATTTATTTTGGCTATTGTTATACGAAGTACCTGAGATGAGAGAAGTTCAAGAACTACAGACATTGTTGGTAAGGTCTGTTTGAGCTGTCGGCTCTGAGTGTTCGATGGATGTCTCCTCCCAATCACACCTCCTAGTGCACATAGGACATCCTCTGGAGAAGAAACCAGGTGAGATAAAAGACACTGAGCTGAGAGAGGTCAAAGCAGAGCTGCACAATATGAGGAAAGCTTGCAAAATGCAAAAATATTTAATATTGACGTAACAATAAGACGGAATAAATAAACAGCACAATTTTCTCACGCCTCTTTTTGAGTTTTGTCATTGTGATATTTACAAAATTACCATATTTTTCACCCTATAAGTCACGTTTTTTTTTCCATAATTTGCATGCTCTGCGACTTATAGGCCGAAGCGACGTATTGATGGATTTTTCCACTTTATTAGACATATTTGGACTGATGCGATTTATAGGGCGGAGAGACGTGTACGGCAGAAAATATGGTATCTGTGTGCAGGGGATTGGTTGTAATTTCTCTACATACCTATTATCACTGGTGCAGCACTGCACAGGTATACCAGCATTAAGTCCAGACACTGATGAAGGTATCCTGATTGACTCAGATTCTCTCTAAGAGGAGTTGTTTTGCGCAGGTCTCTCTCCAGATACATCACAAGCCTACAGAAACAGACATTCACTTCAGACGTATTAAAGGAAATACAATCATTATAGAAAAAAAATGCTGGTTCACTAGCACACATTTAGATAGGAATAAAATTGACAGCATATTTGGATTTATTTTGATAATAATAATAATAATAAAAACAATAACAATGACAATAACAATGATGATGATGATAATAATAATTATTATTATTATAACAATTTGGATTTTTAGAGGCAGCACAGTGGCGCAACTGGTAGAGCTGCTGTTTCTCAGCGAGCAGTTTCCCCGGTTCAAATCCCGGTCTGGGGGCCTTTCTGGGTGGAGTTTGCATGTTCTCTCCGTGCATGCGTGGGTTTTCTCCAGGTACTCCAGTTTCCTCCCACAGACCAAAAACATGCATGTTAGTCTGATTGGTAACTCTAAATTGTCCCTGGGTGTGAGTGAGAGAATGAATGGTTGTTTGTCTCGTTTGTCTCTATGTGTCCCTGTGATGGACTTGCAACCCATCTAGGGTGTACCCCGCCCCTCGCACAGTGATTGCTGGACATGGGCACCGGCGACCCTCGTGACCCAAAAGGAAGAAGCGGGTAAAAGATAATGGATGGATGGATGGATTTTTAGAATTACCAATTTAAACAATCTGACGTATTGAATAGAACTGCCTTTCGGATTGAATTAAGTACTGAACCAAAAATACCTTGCCAAAATTCAAATGTATGCAAGGACATATGAATCTGATAGAAATGTGTGCTTACTTAAAAATTAATGGTATAAACATTTTAAAATAAACTAAATAGAAGTGGGCTAAGAAATTAGCTTTGTGGCATACCTTAATTTAGATAATTTTTATTGAATATTTGAGGAACCAAGTTTCCTCACAGTTCACTGCCTTTTTTCCGCTCTTTTTTCTTTCGGAAAGATTCTTAAAGGAGAGCCTAGTTTTAGTGTGTTAAATTATTACACAGTTTAAAGAGTGGAACATTTAACTTTTTTAAGCCCTTTTGTCAATTGTTCCTGTACATTTTCCACTTCAAAATTCAAGATTTTTTCAGACTCAGATGCTCTGATTTCATAATAGATTTTCTGGCCATTCTGTTAAACAAATATTTACCGTACATACTGTACAGGCTGTATAAAAATGATGGAAACAAAATATGCAAAACGATTCCAGGAAAATCAAACTCCTTTCCTAATGAGATTATGAACCTAATTACAAACCGGTAGTTCTCCTTCAATAAAATATATCGTTAATTTTGTAATATTATATTTCCATTTAGGGCAGAACGGTGGCTCAGTTGGTAGGTGTGTCATTTCTCGGCGAGAAGGTTGCCGGATCGAATCCTGGCCTGGGGCCTTTCTGGGTGTAGTTTGCATGCTCTCTCCATGCACGTGTAGGTTTTCTCTGGGTACTCCAGTTTCCTCCCACAGATCAAAAACATGCAAGTTAGTCTGATTGGTAACTCTAAATTGTCCCTAGGTGAAAGAGTGAATAGTTGTTTGTATCTTTTGTCTCTATGTGTCCCTGTGATGGACTGGAAACCTGTTTAGGGTGTCCCACGCATCTCGCATAGTGACTGCTGGACATGGGTACCAGTGACCCCCATGACCTAAAAAGGAAGAAGTGGGTATAAGAAAATGGAAGGATGGATATTTTCATATTTAAAGTTGTTTTACTTTTGGTTGTGCCCTTCTACAGAGGTCGTCACAGTGAGCAAACTCTCTCGAAGGATTTGGAAATTGTTTTAAGGTGGGTGCCCTTCCTGTCGCAACCTGGGCTTGAACTTGCACCCTCAGGATTACAGGACAGAGGAAATGACCACCAAGCTACCACAGCCCTTTTTACTCCCATTTAAAGTAAAAACTAACAAACTATGTTGTAGGGCAGGACTAATTTGTGATAATAAATGAGAAAATATTATGCTTTAATACAACCCATTTGTTAAAGTAGTAAAGTTCACAAAGTTTTTATAATGTGAACTACAATAATTGTTTAGTAAATGGAAATTAGAATAAGTATGGAAACATAACCAAATTCCTTTTTTTTTCTTCTTCTCATTTCCATATACAGTGCCTTGCGAAAGTATTCGGCCCCCTTGAACTTTTCAACCTTTTGCCACATTTCAGGCTTCAAACATAAAGATATAAAATTTTAATTTTTTGTGAAGAATCAACAACAAGTGGGACACAATCGTGAAGTGGAATGAAATTTATTGGATGTGTCAAACTTTTTTAACAAATAAAAAACTGAAAAGTGGGGCATGCAATATTATTCGGCCTCTTTACTTTCAGTGCAGCAAACTCACTCCAGAAGTTCAGTGAGGATCTATGAATGATCCAATGTTGTCCCAAATGACTGATGATGATAAATAGAATCCACCTGTGTGTAATCAAGTCTCTGTATAACTGCACCTGCTCTGTGATAGTCTCAGGGATCTGTTCAAAGCACAGAGAGCATCACAAAGACCAAGGAACACACCAGGCAGGTCCAAGATACTGTTGTGGAGAAGTTTAAAGCTGGATTTGGATACAAAAAGATTTCCCAAGCTTTAAACATCCCAAGGAGCACGGGGCAAGCAATCATATTGAAATGGAAGGAGTATCAGACCACTGCAAATCTACCAAGACCCGGCTGTCCCTCTAAACTTTCATCTGGAACAAGGAGAAGACTGATCAGAGATGCAGCCAAGAGGCCCATGATCACTTTGGATGAACTGCAGAGATCTACAGCTGAGGTCGGAGAGTCTGTCCATAGGACAACAATCAGTCGTACACTGCAAAAATCTGGCCTTTATGGAAGAGTGGCAAGAAGAAAGACATTTCTCAAAAATATCCATAAAAAGTGTTGTTTAAAGTTTGTCAAAAGCACCTGGGAGACACACCAAACATGTGGAAGAAGGTGCTCTGGTCACATGAAACCAAAATCCAACTGTTTGGCCACAATGCAAAATGATATGTTTGGCATAAAAGCAACACAGCTCATCACCCTGAACACACCATCCCCACTGTCAAACATGGTGGTGGCAGCATCATGGTTTGGGCCTGCTTTTCGTCAGCAGGGACAGGGAAGATGGTCAGAATTGATGGGAAGATGGATGGGGCCAAATACAGGACCATTCTGGAAAAATACCTGTTTAAGGGTGCATTCACACCAGCCCTGCTTAGTCCGCTTTAATCGAACTCCAGCTCGTTTTCCTAGAAAGTCCGGTTCGTTTAGGGAGGTGTGAACGTGCCATCGAACTCTGTCACGGAACAAAAAGGCGAACTCTGGCCCGGGCTAAAACCTAGATCTCGGTCCGGTAGAAGCGAAGTCCAGCGCGGTTCGAGTACAGTTTGAATGTAAACAGACCGAGCCCCGCTCCGCAGAGTAAACAAACACGCATTTCTCTTACCTTATATGGAGCCATCAGCTGCCTTGTGTGAAAAACAATATTCTCCATGGTCTTCCATCTCATCTTCTGCTCATGCTAAGTCCATTTTTGAAAAATGACAAAATATAACTCCTAAAACTGTTAAAACTTGATGCCACTTTGATTTTATTTTTATTTACAGAAGAAGAAGACGTGTCTTCAGAGGTTTTTGTGTCGTTTCTTTCAGTAGTTCTTGGTGCAGCGCCCCCACAGGCGAGCGGGGGAATAGGTTGATTCAACAGGTTGACTCAACTGCACAGTGCAGTATGAATGCAAACGCACCAGCTCAAATGTAAACAAAAGGTCATGAATATTGGTCCCCAACCGAACCAAGTCTACCGGACTATCTGGTGTGAAAACGACCTTAGTCTGCAAGAGACCCGAGACTGGGACAGAGATTTATCTTCCAACAAGACAATGATCCAAAACATAAAGCCAAATCTACAATGGAATGGTTCACAAATAAACATATCCAGGTGTTGGAATGGCCAAGTCAAAGTCCAGACCTGAATCCAATCGAGAATCTGTGGAAAGAGCTGAAGACTGCTGTTCACAAACGCTCTCCATCCAACCTCACTGAGCTCGAGCTGTTTTGCAGGAAGAATGGGCAAGAATTTCAGTCTCTCCATGTGCAAAAATGATAGAGACAAACCCCAAGAGACTTGCAGCAGGAATTGCAGCAAAAGGCGGCGCTACAAAGTATTAACGCAAGGGGGCCAAATAATATTGCACGCCCCACTTTTCAGTTTTTTATTTGTTAAACAAGTTTGGCACATCCAATAAATTTCATTCCACGTCACGATTGTGTCCCACTTGTTGTTGATTCTTCAGGAAAAATTAAAAATTTATATATTTATGTTTGAAACCTGAAATGTGGCAAAAGGTTGAAAAGTTCAAGGGGGCCGAATACTTTCGCAAGGCACTGTATTTCCAGGCTTGAAATACCACAATTGTAATTTTTATACTATTTAAAACTTTTCAAAATTGTATAGGGAAATTGCTTGCTGTCATTACTTAACACATTTTTATGACTACGGTACTTCGATTTCCTGCTTTAGAAATTGAACCACATAACCAGTAGCAAAGACAACCAAATATTTCCATTAATCTATACAAACTTTGCCATGAAGAGACTGTATTTATCAACTACAGAAATTTGCTATCATGTAATAGTTATTACATACTCTAGTTCAATGCCAATCTGTAAAAATAACAAAAATGTGTCTGTAATATTAATATGAATAAAAATTAGGATCAAAATCAAAGTCATTTTCATTTCAGGTTACTAAAATAAATTTAAAAGCTGCTCTGTTTAAATAATTTCGGAACATTTTATTTGGACATGGTAGATCCACATACTGCTTTATAAAAAGAGACACATCTGCCAGCTTTCTGTCAGTGGCTGCTGGAGACTCTCAGACTTCGCACACACAGCTGACCTACAAGTCGCCCACTGTGTGCCCGAGTGTGTGAGAGTGTATATGCTGAAAGCCAACACATTCCATTTTCACTGCCAATCCTGACATGTCCTCTG